TATATATATATATATATATATATATATATAGAGAGAGAGAGAGAGAGAGAAATTATCCTTTTCTATCTATACATAAAATTATCTTTCGACACGGTTATTTTCATATGTCACAATTGCGGAGCTACAGTTCTTCCTCGGAGGATCCACCAGGCAGCCCTCAATTTAAGATATGCCTGTGGAAGCTCCTTGATGATCGGCCCTCGCACATTGATGTGCTCCTTCATATGGTAGCATGAGAACAATTTCCAGGTTGTGGTCAGTGTTTTGATGAGCGAAACCTTCGGAACATTGCAATCAGAGACATGAGATGAGCTCATAGTATGGTGTTGGACAGGGCTCACCAACATGGTGCCCATTGGCAGCACATGATTAGCCAGGTAGTGCTTGCGTTAGTGTTGAAATAAATATTTGAAAATTTAAACAATTGCAGCGATTTCGGAAAATGGTGATGCTTATTGATCTATGTTTCCTACTTTGTTAAATCTTTTTGGATATTTATTCTGAGAAACAGTTAACATGATTGCCAAGTACCAAAATATTGATTTATATCGCCCTTATTCACTCTGTTGTTGAGTTCACATAGGTGAATAATTTATTTCAGAAGTGTGAATCAAACCCAAAGCACTTTGCATGAATCAATACCCAGTAATTACAATCTCCCAAGGCCCTGACATAATTTGAGTTGGAGCCCCTTGATTTAAATTGTGACAAATTTTTTTCATGTTGCCTGTGCTGTGGTCTAATGTTTTTTTGTTTTTTTTTGTAATGTGTCTTGCCCATCTAGAGTATATTAGCATTAGTGAGGGTGTCGGAAGGAGACCTGCGGAAAGCCATCACCTTCCTTCAGAGTGCTGCACGCCTCAATGTCAACAATGAGATTACAGAACTTGCCGTCATCGAAATAGCTGGGGTAAGATCTGATTTTTAGCTCTTTTTGCTCTTGTGATGGCTCAGTGTAAGTGTTTCAGCCCACAATGTTTTGTGGACGTAAATTATTTTGTCCCAACCTCTTCTTGTTAGCCAGAGTTCTTGTGTACGACAGCATCATCAGTGCCATGTGAGCGTCTGTTCTACACGGCAGGAGCAATTGCTTGAAAGAAATGCAACAAATTTAATTTTAAAACATTGGAGAATTTTTTTTTTAATTAAAAATTGTAAAGACAAAAAGTTCACAAGCATCCTCATTCACATCATTTTCACATGGATTTTCACATTGTTATACATGTTCACATTATTGACAGATATGGAATAATACAATATGAACGCAAAGACTTTAATGATATACACAGTAGGTCATAAAATCATTATCTGTTCAGTCTACACTATTTTTTTCAAGTACAGCAGGTGTCAGTATTCAGTGGCAGTATCAACACAGTGTGTCATTGTGTCAACACAGCTAATGATGCCTCATCGACCCATCGTTTAACCACTTACCGCATTTTTGTGCCATGACTATCTTTAATTCATTCAAAGTCAGTTCATTCGTGTGTTGCACTAAAATCACTTTTAGAGCTATAGTGCTGTGTTTTTAGACAGCCCAAAACTTATCAGAGTACCACCAATAATGATTTTCCGAGTCACACATCAATGTTACACATTTTATTGTTGCTACCATGAGGAAGGGTCATTACACTTTAACAAAAAGATGAACATTTATCGACTGCTTGATGTGGAATACACAATTTGCCATCGGAAGTCAAAGAAATAATTTTTCATAATGAAACTATTATCATCATCATAAAACCTTTAACGGACAATGTTTTAACATTCTTAGCATGTTCAAATGAAAAGTATTGTTAGCTGAAATGTCAAAAAGGTTAAACTCTTTATTTTTATTTTGATGATTGAAAGGAGGGCGGAACGGTGAATGACTGGTTGTCACGTCCGCTTCACAGTGCAAAGTTGCAGGGTTCAATTCTGACTACGGCCTTCCTGTGTGGCGTTTGCACGTTTTCCTTGTGCCTGCGTGGGTTTTGGCCGGGTACTCCGGTTTCCTCCCACATTCCAAAACATACGTGGCAGGTCAATGGAACACTGTAAATTGTCCCAAGGTGGGAGTGTGAGCGCGACTGTTTGTTCGTCTATCAGAGATGAAAGTCCTCCGGATTTTCCCGGAATTACGGATTTTTCAAATTGTCCTAAATTTTCCTCCGGGAAATTAATTATCCTCCGGAAAATTGCCTAAAATTAATCCGGGTATTAGTTGACAACATTGAATGAACACGCGTTTGAGTTCGTTGTTTTGCTTGTAGTGACACCATTTGAGCGAAGCGCGCCGCAGCACTCGGTTGGTCTCTGCTGTACTTGCGTCAGCGCGAACATGTACGCATGAGAGCGTCGTTTTGGTTTCAACCAATCAGCGCCGATGCAACCGACGTCAGAAGACGCTACGACAACAGCAAACGCAAGCAACGGCAACACCACTCCCCTACCTTGGACTTTCGAAATTTCGGCGACAACGGAAGCCTCAAAGTCCAGATAAATCATTAAATATTGAGTATTTGAGCTCTATATGTAAAGTTGTTTGTGCGTAATGTTCAAGCAGGTAGACAGACAAGCAGATTTACGCGCAATAGACGCGAGTGTGAGGAACACGTTCAAGTGGTCATGGCTCGAAGAAAGGGACTTGAACGGAGATTTTTTGTCTGACTACATTCGGAAGGTCGACAAACCCGGTAAGTCACTTAGATTCTCTCCTCTTTAACCCCAAAAGGCTTTAAACAACAAAGCGTACGAGGGAGAAGTGGTCACGATTGCATGACTGTCCGTGTTTTGCAATGTGCTGTGTTCATTATTTTACTTTGTTAACGGTTTTGTTCAGCGCTTTGTGTTACAGTTGCGGCTGTTGTGAAAGCGCTATATAAATCAGATTGTATTGTGTATATACGATATATATATATAGATATATATATAGATAGATAGATATCAGTGGCGGATGCTGGTCTGTCAAGGAGGGGAAGGTCAATTTCGGGCTACATAATAAAATGTGTCCGTTAATTTATACGGTACGGGAATTATACAGATTAATTTGTCACTAGTCGTTTTCAACAAAGAGAGTGTCGCTAGCTGAGCTTCCCTTGCAGTCTTAGAGTAATTGCCTCTGACATCAAAGGTCAAGCGTCTGGACCACTGGTGGTCTGAGGTTATGCCACGCTATCCAGCCCTGGGTAAAGTAGTGAAGGCCTGTCTCAGCATCTTTTCTGGGCCACGAATTGAGCAGTCATTCAGTGTCATGAATGATATTATCGACCCCAAGTCAAATAGGCTAGCCATCAGGACATATTCAGCCATACAAACCGTCAAATATGACCTGAAGGCAAGAAATACAACAGCCGTAAGGGATTTCCACTGAGATGATATACATCATGATCCAGTGGACAAGAGTACGGTATATCATTTGCAGACAGCTTATGGCAGATACAAGAGGAGACTGCATGCTGAAAAGGAAAGAAAGAAAAGGAAAGCTGAAGAATTGAAAGTGACTGACAGAATACAGCGGAATCCTCCCTCAAAAGTGACGGTTCATCAATTAGCTAAGAAGACCAAGAATATAATGAAGCATTCCAGTCCATACTCCGCACAGATGTTTCGGTAGACTATGCCAGCCACCTGGTTATGGCGTTCCATGTAGGCTTTCCCTGCCAGCATCTTACACCCTGCAGTTATGTGTTGGATCGTCTCAGGTGCCTCTTTGCACAACCTACACCTTGTGTCTTGTCTGGTGTGGTATATCTGGGCCTCAATGGCTCTGGTGCTCAGAGCCTGCTCCTGAGCAGCCAGGATGAGTGCCTCTGTGC